CAGGTTTTTTTTGAGTCGGAGTCTCACTCTGTCACCCAGACTGGAGTGCAGTGGCTGCTCCCGGCCACCACAACCTCGCCTGCTGGGGTCCGGCGATCTTTCTGCCTCAGCCTCCCAAGTAGCTGGAACTACAGGCGCGTGCTACCACACCCAGCTAACTTTTGATTTATTGTAGAGATAAGGTCTCCCCAAGTTACCCAGGCGGGTCTCGAACCCGCCAGCTCAGGCAATTCACTCACCTTGGCCTCCCAAAGTGCTGGGATTACAGGCTGAGCCACCGAACCCGGCCAAGGTTCAAGTTTTAATAAAATAAACGTTTAATGCCTCATGAAGGATACTCCTAAGTGAAACTGCTCTTTTTCTTTTAAATATAGAGTGGTGAAAGATACAATGACCACCACTGTGGTCAGCACTACTGCCTTGATTCATGCTGAGGCACCAGCAGTTATACTCAACACTGCTTCACATCATTAGTACAAAAGTCAAAATGGTGAAAAAGGCAAATAATATCTAAGTAATATTATCAAAATAGCTATGACCTCATGGATTCCTGGAAAGAGTCACAGGATAATCCTCAGGAGCCTGCAGACAATCCTTACTTATTTTCAAATGGTCTTATACTAAGTTACAGAAACAAAAAGTAAGACCAAATAGATTTTGTTAACATTGATTTTTATCTTGAAATCAGCCACTGAATGTAGATTTGCAAAGTTGAGGATACTGCTTTGAGCTAAATAATATGTCAGCTTCTGCTTCTCAGTATATTTTTCTCATCTTCTAAAATGACCTCAGCCAAAAGATTTGTAACTATGTCAGTTCTCAGAAGATTTTATGCTAGATCTGAATGCAACGAAATCAAATTCATTTCACTACTTTTTTTTTTAATGAGTAGGAGTCTTTATTTTTTTTAGAGTTGAAGTTTCACTCTGTCACCCAGGCTAGAGTGCAGTGGCACACTCACGGCCACTGCAGCCTCAACCTGCTGGGCTCAGGTGATTATTCTACCTCAGCCTTGCATGTACCTGGAACTACAGGCGTGTGCTATAGGCATGCACTACCATGCCCAGCTAATTTTTTGATTTATTGTAGAGATGGGGTTTCGTCAAGTTGCCCAGGCTGGTCTCGAGCCTATAGGCTCAAGCATTCCTCTCGCCTTGGCATCCCAAAGTGCTGGAATTACAGGCATGAGCCACCAGACCCAACTCATTTCACTAATAAAAAATAATAAAAAAACAAACAAAAAATCCCCCCTTAATATAAGGGGTATTTTTAAAATTAATTAATTAAAAACTCACTCAAGCTGAATACAGTGGTTCACACCTGTAATCTCAGCACTCTGGGAGGTGGAGGCAAGAGGATTGCCTGCGTCCACAGGTTCAAGACCAGCCTGGGCAACATGGTGAGACCACGTCTCTATAATAAATCAAAAAATTAGCAGGGTGTGGTGGTGTGCATCTATAGTTCCAACTACTTGGAAGGTTGAGGTGGAAGGATCGCCTGAGCCCAGCAGGTCAAGGCTGCCATGGCCATGAGCATGCCACTGCACTCCAGCCTAGTCAACAGAGTGAGATTCCGACTCCAAACAATCAAACAAACCCATTCAAGACAGAAGGTTAATATAAAAGCAACTACACCTCCTGATAGGTTTTCAGTGGGACAAATCCATTCTAAGAGTTTCTGTGATTATACAAGTTTTAAAGGAGAAACAGTAAAGGCCATAATGTGAAGTATGGACCTGTAAAGTGATCAATAACAGGAAAGATTACCCTTACCTAACGTCCTTCCCCACGGTCATAGCGGCAATCACTTTCTTCACAGCCTCCTTTCGCTTTTCTTTCTTTTCATTATTGAGTTCAGCTTTTAATTCAAAGATTTCTCCTGCAAGAGATGAGAACAATCAGTGAGGTCCCAGGACAAGAGAAACAGAGGAGAATACTGTACTATGTAATAACTAATACCAGGATGGCAATTTGTTTTGCAACTGAAATAAAAAGATTATTTTAAAATTATAGAATATGTAAAATTCAAAGCCCTAGGATATTAACTGACTCACTGATAAGGATATCACCAATAAAATGTTGAAACCTATTAAGTAACAGCCAGAGAGAAAGGTACAATCTAGATCTTTAGGAACCATAGGAGTAAGAAATCTCATTATATACAATGGGAAGAGAACAGTACATGAAGGATGATCTCTCTTCAGAATGCTAAGGTCTGGAGAAGAAAAATATAGGTGAGGAACAAGCACATATCATCTCATTAACTACCCTCAACTTTACAGATAAAGAAATGAGGCTAGGCCGGGCTTGGTGGCTCAGCCTGAAATCCCGCACTTTGGGAGGTCGAGGTGAGTGGATTTCTTGAGCCCATGGGTTCAAGACCCGCCTGGGCAACTCAAAAAAAAGAAAAAAGAAAAAAGAAATGAGGCTCAAAGGTCACAGAGTGAGTCACTGACAAAGCTGGGCTTTAGCACTGTGTCTCCCTGACTCTTGAACCCAAAGATTCTCAAGCTTGGTCACACAAAAATATTGCCTGAGAAGTATTTACAAATAACAATGTAGTAACACTCTGGACCAAATAAATCAATATACCAAGGGGAACTCTTACATTCATATTTTTAGAAGTTCCCCCAGTGATTCTAATGCACAACCAAGAATCACTGCATTTTTTTTTTTGAGTTGGAGTCTCACTCTGTCACCCAGGCTGGAGTGCAGTGGCATGCTCCCGGCCACCACAGCCTCGACCTGCTGGGCTCTGGCGATCCTTCTGCCTCAGCCTTCCAAGTAGTCGGAACTACAGGCGCACGCTACCAAGCCTGGCTCATTTTTGATTTATTGTAGAGACATGGTCTCACCAAGTTGCCCGGGCGGGTCTCGAACCCGCAGGCTCAGGCAATCCACTTGCCTCGGCCTCTCAAAGTGCTGAGATTACAAGCTGAGCCACTGAGCCCGGCCAGTACTTTAATAAGTTAATGAGCTTTAAGGTCCCATCCTATTCAGTCAATCTAACAAGAATAACCTGGAAACTCCAAGAATGGTACAGAGTCATTTCTTTCTTTCTTTCTTTCTTTCGGTGTCAGAGTCTCACTCTGTTGCCCAGGTTGGTAAGCGTGCCACTGCAGCTTCGACCTGCTGAGTTCAAGCAATCCTTCCACCTTAGCCTTCCAAGTAGCTCGAACCATATACATGCGCCACCATGCCCAGATAATTTTTGATTTATTGTAGAGACAAGGTCTCGCCATATTGCCCAGTCTGGTCTCGAACCCCTGAGCTCAGGCAATCCTTTCACCTGCGCCTCCCAAAGTGTTGGGATTACAGGTGTGAGCCACCCCCAGCTCCAGAGTCATTTCTAAAGGTATAATCTTGAATTACTACTTGGGCTCTGCACTGTAAAAGGCCAGGGACTATAATGACTATTTTAAAAGCCCAGTCTCCAGACTCACCTATCTTCAGGATGCTGCAGCCAAAATAAAAAAGAAGGTAGCCAGGTGGCTCACCCAGCACATTGGAAGGCTGACGTGAGAGGACTGCCTGAGCTCATGGGTTTGAGACCAGCCAGGGCAACCTGGCGAGACCTCATCTCTACAATAAATAAAAAAATTAGCCGGGCATGGTGGCACATGCCTGCAGTTCCAGCTACTTGGAAGGCTGAAGCGGAAGGACTGTCTGAGTCCAGCAGATGGAGGCTGAGGTTGTAGTGGCTGTGAGTGTGCCACTGCCCTCCAGCCTGGAGAATGGAGTAAGACTTCAACTTAAAAAAAAAAAAAAAAAGAAGAAGGTAACACTCATCTATAATACTGCCTCATGTTCCTCTACTTTCAAGATTGTTCATGATGTTCCTTTTAACCAGACCTCATTTGCCAGTGTAATGGGGACAGAACACTGTGTTTGGCCTGAACCCCTAAATGGGAAGAATACGACAGGACAGCACTAAAAAAGCTTGTTTCAGTCAGGTGCAGTGGCTCATGCCTGCAATCTCAATGCTTTGGGAGGCCTCAGTCGGGAGGACAGCTTAAGGCTAGGAGTTCAAGACCAGCCTGGGTGACACAGCAGGACTGTGTCTCTACAAAAAAATTAAAAATTAGCTAGGTATGGTGTTATGTACCTGTAGTCCCCAGCTACTACTAGGGAGGCAGAGATGAGAAGATTGCTTCAGGCCAGGAATTTGAAGCTACGGTGACCTATGATAGTGTCACTGCACTCTAGCCTGGCTGACAGTAAGGCCAAAGGGGGAAAAATTATAAAATCACTATTTAATTGATAGCTACAAAAACAGCATAGCCTGAAAAGTTGAGTAATTTAAAAAGTCATTCTCCTCTTCACTAAGTCCTGTGCTGCCAAATCCAGTTCTCAGGGTTCCCATCATTTACTTCTGGGAACAGCAGGGTTTCAGAAAGTCCCAGTTGCAATAGCAGCAGGTGCTGCAGAATCAAAGCAGAATGTAACTGAAGTTATTCCAATTCCAACAATATAAATTTTTTAGTTTGTTTGTTTGAGTTGGAGTCTCACTCTGTTACCCAGACTGGAGTGCAGTGGCCGCTCCCGGTCACCGCAGCCTCGACCTGCTGGGCTCCGGCAATCCTTCCACCTCAGCCTTCCAAGTAGCCAGAATTACAGGCATTCACTACCACGCCCAGTTGATTTTTTGATTTATTGTAGAGATGAGGTCTCGCTGCCCAGGCGGGTCTCGAACCCGCAGGGTCAGGCAATCCACTCACCTCAGCCTCCCAAAGGCACGGGATTACAGGCTGAGCCACCAAGCCCGGTTCCAACAGTATAAATTTAAAGAATATGTTTCAGTGGCAGTTCTGGTGGGTGGTGCAGGAAGAAAAAGGAACACAGTCTATCCATTTTTTTAAAGTGTGATACTTATCAACAGTGATTCAATCTGTAAGTCTCAACTTTTACAAATGCCTGGATAAAAAAATTTCACCAGGACCCCTTACAAGAGGTTTGAAGGCTTAGGTGAATTTTAATTATATCCCTTTATGTTACTATAGACATGCTGGTCATCAAAGCCCAACACCTGTTAACAGAAGAAAGAAGAAATGAATACACTTCCAAAAGAAAAGAAAATCAGAAAAATCTGAGAATGAGTGACAAGGGGCTAATGGCTTTTGTGAGGTGTAAGTAATAAAAATAAGGATGAAGGCGGGCAGGCTACACTAGGCGCAGTGGCTCAAGTCTATAATCCTAGCACTTTGGGAGGCCGAGGCGAAAGGACTGCCTGAGCCCGCAGGTTCGAGACCAGCCTGGGAAACATGGTGAGACCTCATCTCTACAATAAATAAAAAATTAGCCGGGCCTGGTAGCACGCGCCTGTGATTCTGGCTACTTCAAGGCTGAGGTGGAAGGAATGCCTGAGCCCAGCAGGTCGAGGTTGTGGTGGCCGGGAGTGTGCCACTGCACTCCAGCTTGGGCGACTGAGTGAAACTCAAACTCAAACGCAAAAAAAAAAAAGAAGTTGGGTGGAGGCAACAAGTTACTTAGGGGGGCACAGTATCTTATATATACTACAATTTTATTCAATTATTTAGTGTGTAGCTAGACTTGATCAATGGCTCTCAATACTAGCTACACATTAAGTAATCATCTAGGGAACTTTTAAAATCCCCACACCCAAACCATATCTAGGACCACTGAAATCAGGATATCTGGGTTGAGACCCAGATATCAGTATTATTTTAAAGTTCCCCAGGCAATTCCAAAGTGTTAGCCAAGGTTGAAAATCATAGACTAGCCAGGCATGGTAGCGTGTGTCTGTAGTTCCAGCTACTCGGAAGGCTAAAGCAGAAGGATCGCTGGAGCCCAGCGAGTGGAGACTGTGGTGGCCGGGAATGTGCCACTGCACTTCAGTCTGGGCGATAGAGTGAGACTCCAACTCAAAAAAAATAATAATAATAATAATAAAGAAAAAAAGAAAATCACAGACTAGTAGTTGACATAATTAAGCAACTCGTTATGGAATTTTCTGTATTAAATAACTTGATAACCCACACATAATCATACATAACTTCAATGACAGAACAAGACAGATTGCTTAAGCTTTCTAGAAAATGTTCTGGTGCTCCTTCTTCCCTCCAGACCACTATAATATGCCCTCCTACTTCTAAAAAAAATTTTATTTTTAAGTAATTTCAGTCTTAAACTTGTAAGATTTCCCAATCGTTAACATTTTGCCACATATGCATTCTCTCTACATATATACTTTTCTACACTATTGTGAAAGCAATTGGCAGATATCATACCTCTCTAGCTGTAAATAAACACATCAGATGGGTGGGTGGCTCACACCTATAATCCCAGCACTTTGGGAGGCAGAGGCAAGAGGACTGCCTGAGCCCAGGGGTTTGAGACCAGCCTGGGCAGGCTGGCAAGACCTCATCTCTACAAGAAATCATAGAATAGCCAGGTATGGTAGCACACACCTATAGTCTCGGTTATTAAAGGCTGAGGTGAAAAGATCACCTGAGCCCAGCAGGTAGAAGCTACAGTAGCCATTTCTATGCCACTGACTCCAGCCTGGGAGACAGAGTAAGATTCCAACTCAAACAAATAAATAAATACATCAGTGTGTGTTTTCTAAGAACAAAGAAATTCTCTTTCTCTCTCTCTTTTTTTAAAGTAGGATTCTTTTTTTTTTTTTTGAGTTGGAGTCTCACTCTGTCACCCAGGCTGGAGGGCAGTGGCACACTCCTGGCCACCCCAGCCTTGACCTGCTGGGCTCAGGCGATCCTTCCACCTCAGGCTTCCAAGTAGCTGGAATTACAAGCATGCATCACCAAACCCAGCTAACTTTATTTATTTATTTATTTATTATAGAGATGAGGTCTTGCCAAGTTGCCCAGGCTGGTCTTTAACCCATGGGCTCAGGCAATCCTCTCACCTCGGCCCCCCAAAGTGCTGGGATTATAGGCATGAGTCACCACACCCAGCTAGAGGCAGGATTCTTACTCTGTTGTCTAGGCTACAGTGCAGTGGTGCAATCAGAACTCACTGCAGCCTTGAACTCCTGGCCTCAAGCACTCCTTCCACCTTGGTCTCCAAAAGAGCTATATTACAGGCTTGAGCCATCATACCTGAGCAGGAAATTCTCTTATATAACCATGATACAATGCTCAAAATCAGGAAATTTAACATTAACTCATCATCACAATCTAATCTACAGACTTCACTAAAAGGTGTTAATAATGTCCTTTTTAGCAACTTGATTCCCACCCTATTCCAGCCACTGGGTCAGAATGTAGTTCAAGATTAGGCATTACATTTATTCTTGTAAATCTTCAGTCTCCTTTAATCTAAAACAGTTCATCTTTCATAATACACACACACACACTTTTTTTTTTTAGTTGGAGTCTCACTCCATTGTCCTGGCTAGAGTGCAGTGGCACGCTCACAACCACCCCAGCATCAACCTGCTAGGCTCTAGTGATCCTTCCACTCCAACCTTCCAAGTAGCCGGAACTACAGATGCATGCTACCATGTCCGGTTAATTTTTTTTTTAATTTACTGTAGAGACGAGGTCTCATCAAGTTGCCCAGGCTGGTCTTGAACCTGTAGGCTCAGGCAATCCATTCGCCTCGGCCTCCCAAAGTGCTGGGATTACAGGCTCCGGCCTTTTCTTTTCTTTTTTTTTTGAGTTGGAGTCTCACTCCGTCGCCCAGGCTGGAGGGCAGTGGCACACTCCTGGCCACCGCAGCCTCGACCTGCTGGGGTCCGGTGATCCTTCCGCCTCAGTTTTCCAAGTAGCTGGAACTACAGGCGCATGCTACCACGCCCAGCTAATTTTTGATTTATT